TATAACCTATATCTTTATGATCCGAGTGTATGAATATTTAGTGGAGGAAAAGGGGATGTTACATACCTTTCCTCAAAGCGATCAGTTTCCGGTGGAATCACTTTACCTACCAAGGCTGAGGAACGAAGTGTTGTAGGTCTCTTTCTAGATGGTCCTGGCTCCCCAAATTGGTCTGTCTTCCTTTGTTTTCCAACACCGTGAAGTATAACCTATATCTTTATGATCCGAGTGTATGAATATTTAGTGAAGGAAAAGGGGATGTTACATACCTTTCCTCAAAGCGATCAGTTTCCGGTGGAATCACTTTACCTACGTGACGCAAAAGTCAAAATGTATTTCTGACACAAGCCTGTTCCACTGTGTTGTCACGTGACTTGCTGATTTGCATATTCAAAATCGTTTTAATATAACGTATTACCCACTGTGAAAAGAACCAACAAGTCTGTAATCTTCATTTATACAATAATAATAATAATAAACAAATTTATCACACATATGATATAAGCTATCAGACATTTTTTTGTTAAATAGACCTTTTAGGGACGTAATTGTAGCAAGATATGTCATAAGATTTTTAATAGTTGTGTCTATTTTCTTGAATATTCTAGGTATGTGTAGCTGGCCATTTCATTATACTTGACAGATCGGAAATTTGTAGTGGACACTATAGAACTGACCACTTCACCTGACAGATCCGAAGTTTATAGTGGAACAACGACTTATCAGGGGAAACGTGTGTTCAGTTCATCAGATGCGTTGTTTACAATAGTCGATAACAGGGATGAGTTGAACATCAGAAATTAGTATTGTCGTTATGTAAGGAATATATAGATATAACAGAAGTACCTTACCTATTGTTATTTTTTTCTAATCAAAACAGCTCCAAACAAAGATTGGTGTTCTATGATAAACAATCTGTATAACACAAGTTTCAGTGATATCTCTTCAATAATGATCAAGAGGTTAACGTTGTGTGTTGGTGAAACTCGTCTACTAATGTTATAAAGCTAAGAACTTTCAGGGACGCATATATTACATAGCTTTATATATATATACTGAAGACAATAACGCAAGGCACAGAAACGTCATGTGTCTGTCATATGTAATTATTTCTTCAAAACGAGAAGCTCTGTAATAAAACATCTTATCGAGCAGGTGCTTCTTATGTTAAAGGTAATATGAAAATATTAGCCTAGAAAACAAGTTCGAAAGTACTAATATCTTTACAGGACATTTTATATTCTTTGCAAACATACGTATATGATGAACAGAGTGAAGATATCATGATGGTGTATGTAAAACAGCTAAAATACAAATAACTTAAAATTTTAAACAGGTATTCTACGTTTCACAAATGTAAAGCACTTGTTTTAAATGTTTAATTTACATTCATTTTAGCTGTTTTATATGAATTAACTAATGATAATCTGTACTAAAGCTAGTACTATATAAATACTAATCTTATCATAATTATTCTTGCCAAGACAGCTCTAGTGTTCATTACCTATCAAGCATTGTAAAGGGGGGGGGGGGCTGTAGAGTACATTGCGGTTAAAGGAGATTTGGATGTATAGTAAACAAACTATACAAAAAGTATGCATATTGTGATTATATGCTATAAAGAAAACTATATTTTGTCTGGAATAGGTGGAGCTATGTTAGTGGTGAATAAATGTCGTAAAATAATCTGTCTAGTGGAGCGCGAAATGTATTAGTCAAAGAGTTGTATAATATACTGAATAAATGAAACGTCCTTGGATGTTAGTAGTTGGTGTTGTGAGATAAGTTATGTTTTCTAGGTGACGAATAATACACTCTAATTATGTAAACATATGCTTTGAAAAATCAGTTATTCTAAACTGAAATAGTATTATGAGAAGCATTACTGTCCAGCGAATAAAATTTGAAACTCAGATGAGAAGTGCTATAAAAAATAAAATGTATATCTACTGAAATGTTATGAAAATTGTACTGTTGGTAAAATCCTACTGTGAAAATCGTATTGTCTAGTTAACTAGCACTGTGGTAGACACTTACTAAACAGATGTTATGAAAGTAATTATTAAAATGTATTAAATACCCAGTACTTCTATTAGCTACATGTAAGGTGATAGTTTAAAGGAAATATTATTATTTTTACGCTGAATTTGTTTGCTCTAACATATCATAGCTACTGGTGAGAAGTGGATTTATTTCAATATTTATATACTTTATATACTATTATGCAGTAAAAAGTTAATTTGAATATAAAAAATGCATAAACAATATTTCAAAAGTTTAAATGCAATTACCAACTTCAGTTATTAATACTTTCAGTAATACTTTTGTTTATAATGATGATATTAACAAATAAAGTCTAAAGAAAAACAATAACCAGAGCACTTGCGGAGATTAAACCATTCTCTTTCAGAACCATCCTTTAAGGAGGAAGGTTTATATCTTACAGAAGCGCTCAAGTTTCTTGTTTTGGGCTTTGTGTTTATACTTTGATGAATTAATGTGGAATTATTTTGTTATTTCAACTTTCTTCTTAAATTCTCAAACAAAATATTGCTTTTCGGTCAACTTTATGATAATGTTGTGGAATTGCAATGTACTTAATAGAAATAAAGGAAAGGTATGGAGTTTTGTGGTTTTTCACATACACATGAATGATATTAGTTATAACAAGGCATTGAGAACGATTGACTAAGATTAGTTGTTGTTGTTGTTGTTGTGGAGAACGGTTAATAATTTCACTGGTTTACTCCTCATTATGGCGATTCCTTGCACAATAAATAACTTACTCCTCGAACATAACAACTGATAACAACTAAGTTAAGTTTATTTAAATGTATCTTTGATGTCTAGTTTTGAGCCACAGCTGTGTTTTTGGTTTATGGCAAGAAGTTACGTACAAAAATTAAGTGTAATTGGAAAACTGTTATTTTTCTCTCCTCCCACACTTGCTGAGAAATTAGCGATATGTGTGTGAATAAAGTAGAGAAAAAGAAGCAGGAAGCAAGTAAAGTGGGAGACAAAGATAAATTAGGCTAGCGTGGGGAATCTTAACTGGAAATAAACGCCACTAGACAGAAATAAACAATTAAACAGAGAGTGCCGGAAGTGTTAATTAGCATTTGTTTGGTACCAGACAGAGAAGATGTAAGGATTTCCAAGGTAACTGAATAGCATTGTCATGGTGAGCAGGCAATAGATTAATCGTTCTCTTATTATTAATAAGAAGGGAAAGTGAACTGAAGCTTGCAGTTTTATGTGAACCAGAACTCGTTAGAGAAAACTGAATTATTTTCGTCAGAGTATTCATCCTCATTAGGTCAGCTACAATTTATCGTCAACATTAGAATAATTTTAACTAGATGGATTAATTGTTGGTGTCTCCCTCTGGATGGTAGCGTCAGATATTTTAACGGAAGAATTTAAAACTTCATAAAGTGAAGTATGAATGGTGACGATGGTTGATAAACTATGAAACAGTGAGAATTAACAATATTAAATAACTTCAGTAAAACTGCTCCATAACCAAGTTAGGACTACAATTTTGATCACTATCAATTTACATCGATACAACTAAGTGCGATTATAAATATCATCACCAAATTGTCAGCCTCAGACACTCGCTTATATTGAAAACTTACAGGTATGGCCAAAAATAACTCCTCATTTTTTTTTTTTAATACTTTATCCTCACATTATCCACTGAATGCATCGCATTATCAGCATAAAAAGTTTTCTACAAACTATTTCTAAATAAAATGCTTTATACAACATCTCGCCTAATAATAAACTTTAATATTTTATTTTCATGATGAAAAGGAGTAACCGCAGCGAGTCTTTAGCCCCTATGGGCACAGCGGTACGTCTGCGGACTTACAACGTTAGAAAACGAGTTTCGATACCCGTGGTGGGCAGAGCATAGATAACCCATTGTGGAGCTTTGTGCTTGATCTTTAAATACCATGATTCATATCACAAGTTCTCTCCCGTTTATGAAGCTTTGAAACAGCTAGTTGTGAGATAATAAGTTTATTTATGTACAACGTGTTTTCTCAAACAATGATAAATGATCACGTACAACATGTGAAGTACAAGTACCTTTAAGTGTGTCCAATCAAATAATCTTGTTTTAAATGTAATTAACTTCATACGAATATAACAACGTTTCTGATATATTTTTAATATTAGGTTTTGATTCTTAGTAATTCTAATGTTTTTCTTTTGTTTGGGTTTTTTTCTCTATATTCAATACTTTAACATGTTTAAACTTTATTTCATGTTGTCTTTTAATCATGTGTTCATTTACGTTTGACTCTTCTCGTTTTTCACGTTTCTTGCATCTGATTGTTATTCGATGTAGAAACCCGGGTTTCGATACTCGTGGTGGGCAGAGCACAGATAGCCCTTTGTGTAGCTTTGTGCTTAATAACAAACAACACCAAGTATGTAGAAACTGTCTCTATTTAAACATTGTATTATATAAACTGTACCATTGCTATATGTTGTATTATTCTATAACTTCGGTAGAAAACTTTAATGTTAGTTCCTGTTTTAGTTACGATTTTGGTTTTTCACTTAATTTGTACCGTAATGTAATTGATTTTTCACTAATAACGTCTACAAGTGGTATTTATCCATAAATACATTTCTTCTCTTGCTCTTCTTCGGTGTTTTGATCAGTTCTTTTGTTGTTCTTATATATCTTCATTTTTTTCTTGGTTCGGTTATTTTCTGGATTGTGTCGTCATTTATCCTTAGAAGATACTCATTTTTTGTTATGAAACATTTTCTTATATTTTGAATTTGGTTTTCCATTTTTTCTTTATATTCACACTAAGGAAGTTTATACAGCTATTATATTCTGTTTCTATTGTGAATATTATAGCTTTACTAGCAAACGACTGTCGAAACAATTCAATGGTAAATTTCCTTTAAAATAGTGAAAAATCAATAAGTGTGCAGTCAATCCAACGCCATGGATTGACCCGGCATGGCCAGGTGGTTAAGGCACTCGACTCGCAATCTGAGGGTCGCGGGTTCGAATCCCTGTCACACCAAACATGCTCGCCCTTTCAGCCGTGGGGGCGTTATAATGTGACGTTGGTAAAAGCCCAAGAGTTGGCGGTGATAACTAGCTGCCTTCACTCTAGTCTTACACTGTTAAATTAGAGACGCCTGGCGACGATAGCCCTATTGTAGCGCGAAATTCAAAAAACAAACAAACGCCTTGGATCAAAGTGCATATGCAATATGATTGTCTAATGAGCCTATTCAAACCGTCTTTCATCATTCCACGTGTTACTTCAACAAGAAAAATTGCAATGTGTCTGTTTTTAATCAAAGAAGACTGATTGCAATGAACTGTTGGCAAAAATGTTTGGGTTTCGATGCAATGGGTGCATCCAGCACAGTATAGTGCTCAGGTTCGCTAAGCATGGATTCTTTTTTTTTCCACTTGATGCCACCGTTTCCTGTTATTTTACTGAGCAAAATGAGTGTTTTTAACAGCTGTCATTTCTATAAGATGTGTCAAAGGAGAGATATTTAATTCAATTCAAATCGATTCATTTCACATAGTACAATAAAATAATGCATGTATACAATACTGACATGATAAACATTAATATATATATATATAACCGGGCAACAATAAATATATACTCAAACACGTTTATGCTCCTATCTTCAAAATATTCCTTTCAATCAGTCGATGGAGGAAGTCTCGTTTTTTGTTCGTGAAAATCTCTCGCAAAAAAGGACCGTTTTTATTCTAAGTAAGCCCATACGAGACTGACGGGCCGATGTTGATATCGATATAAAATATTAGGAACTGTAAAACAAATTAATAATTTTTCGACAATGTACTCTTGAAAAGAAGCATTTTGAAACATTTTTTTTTACAATAAACCGTTGAAAAGATACAGATTGTAATAGACAGACAGACTATTTGGCTATTATATATATATATATATATATA